CACACACCACACTTCACACCCCGTTCGTCTTCCCGTGTCTCTCAGATGGACTGCTTCGCTGTTCACGTGACAGCTGTACGTGGAGGAGGAAGAGCTGACGAGTTGACATACATGACGTGCAACTGATGAGTCTGGTCACGCGAGGTGTGGCTAGTGAGGTCATCTGTATGCTCCCTGGTATCCGACTTCCCACTCTCGCCCACTGGTACCCAACTTCCCACTCTCTGCCACTGGTACCCGACTTAACACGCTGTCTCTCCGGTACCCGACCCGGTACCCGACTCGGAAAATGAGAGGAGAAGGAGAAGAAGAGGAGAAAAAAGACGGGGGTGGGGAACGAAGAGGAATGTAAATGCCGAATACCTTAAACTTTAGAGAAAGTTTTTGTTCACACCTACAGGAACCTTTTTACGTGTTAGTATTTCCCTCGCGGCTAACTTTCACACTACTGAGAGTCCACCAGGAAGTCTCAGCAGCTGACTAGGCGCTCACGAAGCTCAGGAATGTTGGGATGGGGTTGTCGTTGTGGTTGTTTTAAATTCAGCTACTCGGAACAATAAGTTCCAAGTAGTACAGGCTATGGTGAGCCCGTAGTGGACTTACCTGGCACAGGAGCGGGGCTGTAACTTCAAGATGAGGCTCTTCCAACTACATGATAAACATTGGGACCCCAGAGATATCAGCGTCGTCAGATATTTAACTGTGAATTAACAAATCGTGTTAACAAAGAAAACTTTTGGTTGCATGAACAATCTTGAGTTCAGTGGTGCAACAAATCAAGTTAAGTCAATTATTGATCAAGTGGAAAATGAGGTGGAGAAATAATATATAAAAAAACGGAAAGAGTTGCTTAATAATATGTATATTGTATTTAATTAAGGAGGGACTGGAAGCAGTCGCGCGAGACCCTACTAGCTTATACTCTCAGGTTGTGGGTCCTCAGCAGTCACAAGCGACACCAACTTTTATAAATGAGTTGCGTTAATAAATGTATAAATGTAGTTGGTTGGTGCAGAGAAAGTTGCTATAGCCAGGCTGCGGGCGGGCGAGAGCCTTCTCCGAATGAATGGGAAAATGTAGGTTATGGTCGACGGGTCGGGGAGGGGGAGCTTGGTCCATGAGGATGGGGGGACGAGGACGAGCATCTGGGAAGACTTGCATACGGGATGGGGGAGGGAGAGGGTTAGGTGCGGTCTTAACGTATAGTTAAGGAAGGAGACAAACCACACAGGACTCCGCTCCTGTGCCAGGTAAGTCCACTACGGGCTCACCATAGCCCGTACTACTTGGAACTTTTTGTTCCCAGTAGCTGAATCTTAAACAACAAACCACCGTAGATTTTGGTTTAGTCTGGGGAAAGTCTGTGGTTGCAACTTCCACATAAACCTCTGGTGGCGACCTGAGTCGTGAGGCACAATGGCTGTACATTGTACTCACGTAATGGCCCTTGCGGGGGTTGAGCTTCGGCTCTTTGGTCCTGCCTCTCAACTGTCAATCAACTGTATACAGATTCCTGACCCTATTGGGCTCTATCATAGCAACATTGAAAGTTGTGTATTGAGTCTGCTTCCACCATATTACTCCCTAATGCGTTCCATGTGTCAACTGCTCTCTTATACGTATTCAAACACTTGCACAGTTGCAACACTCACGTCTTGCATGCATTGTATCATTACATGTGACGTTTAGTTTCATCCTATTTGTTCAACCACTTGGGCTGGACGGTAGAACGACGGTCTCGCTTCATGCAGGTCGGCTTTCAATTCCCGACCGTCTCAAGTGGTTGGGCACCATTCCTCTCCCCCGTCCCATCCCAAATCTTTATCCAGACCTATAATTCCCTCCACCCTTCCTCTATTTCACGGGCGATTTGCTGCCATCATCACACACCACACACACCCCATACACACTTTATATAAAAACTGAATTATCTCTATTTTTCGTTAGGTTAGTTAAAGAGTAACTGTGTCGTAGACAGGTCAAACAGTTCGCAGGTGTTAGACCTTACTCCCCTTGGGGCATTCTTGACGTCACTTACGTCATATGTCGAGATGGAGCTCCAGCCAAGTGCGCAGTTTTGTAATGTTGACCAATCCACACACTATAAAATGAAGGGACGACGACGTTTCTGTCCGTCCTGGACCATTCTCAAGTCGATTGTGAATTGAGAATGGTCCAGGACGGACCGAAACGTCGTCGTCCCTTCATTTTCTAGTGTGTGGATTAGTCAACATACTTCAGCCACGTTATTGTGACTCATCTCCTGCAGTTTTGTCATCTCGCCAACATTCCTCGACGCGGGATTACGGAGGATCCATTCACCGGTCAAGAGACAGAAGACTAGATGCCACACGGACGTGTCAGTCTGTACCACGTAAGCAAGGCGGCGACGGGGAGAATATCAAGCCCGGAGAAGAACCCTCCGTGTGTGTGGACATGAATACAAGAGTTACCCTTCAGTAACGCACTGGACGGCAGTCCTTGTTAGTATCCAGGGGCTCGGAGATATTCTGTATTTATGTCCGCGAACGAGATCGCAATCTCTCACCTCCATCATCGCGGCTTAGTCGCCGTTTAGTGAACAGTTTACGAACTCCGATGCGCTGCGAGGTCGCTGATAGCAATAACCTTAACTTGAGGACGACCTGGTCGCGCGTCTGAGCTGAGTAACTGAGTACTAATTGTTGACCAGACCACACACTAGAAAGTGAAGGGACGACGACGTTTCGGTCCGTCCTGGACCATTCTCAAGTCGTTTGTGAATACTAATTACTAACTAACCGCTCTATGATCGAAGTACAAGTACAGGTATCATAACTGGTCACTGGTGGTCTACGTTCTCGAGCTCTCTAACGCCAAGGAGGAATAACAACAATGTATTTTTTGCGTCGAATATAAAATTGGTTATTACCCGCTAATTAGTCCGGAGACACAGTGATAAAAGTGTGTAGTGAAGGGACCATTACCTCATACTGTTGAAGTCATGCTGTTCTCCTGGCGTGAACAAGTGGCCGCTGCAACACCCATCACACACATCACTCAAGACGCTCTCAATATTGCAACATGTAACAATAATAAAAATAATAATGTTTATTATTATTATTATTATTATTATTATAGTTTTTTGTTGCTTTCGACATAATATATCAATATTTTATACTCTAAGGTGTGGTTTATAATCATCTGTGACGCTGTGATCACCGTTAAATTGTAAGCTTATGTTACGGCAGTATTTCTCGTTTATCGACTGGTTGAACTTGGACTCGCTCTGCCAGTAACCTGTAATGTATGTGTGTGTGTGTGTGTGTGTGTGTGTGTGTGTGTGTGTGTGTGTGTGTGTGTGTGTGTGTGTGTGTGTGTGTGTGTAGCCCTGAGGGTCGTGCTCGGGTGGAGGCGGCAACGCCCCAGCCATTGTGCACTTAAGGCGTATATACACCTAACTCCCACGTAAATAATGGCAATTGACGAAACATCGTTTATTAAATCATTTAAATGAATCACCATTATCACAATACTGTTAGTACCATAAGAGTTACTGATACTATTATACCACTACTTTTGCTGACGCTGCGGCTACGGCTGTGGTTTTGGCTATGGTTGCTGTTACAACAGTTGCTTTTAGTGACACTAGTACCATAACTAAAGATAATACCTCATCCTAGAGGTACTTCGCCCACACTGGCAACAGCAGCCGCTCCACAGTACAGCAGTTAGTGGTATATTAGGCCTCAGTGTACCACAAAAGGCGTAATATATTGCAGACGAGGAGTCACAATAACGTGGCTGAAATATGCTGACCAAACCACACTAGAGAGTGAAGGGACGACGACGTTTTGGTCCGTCCTGGGCCATTCTCATGTCGATTGTGAGAATGGTCCAGGACGGACCGAAACGACGTCGTCCCTTCACTTTCTAGTGTGTGGTTTGGTCGGCATAATATATTGTTTGATTGAAATGTAAACAGTGAGTTCTGGGGCCACGCTTCACAATGTCCAGGAACAGTGCTCGTGGGCTACTTGCATTATCACGCTGGTGTTCGGTAGGTATATAATACACTGGGTTCTTACAGACTTCTTTCCTGTGTTAAGTGTAGACATCGGCGAAGCACTACATATCTAACTCAACCAACTTTCTAAAAATGAAAAATGACTAGTTTCCTTGCCATGAATTTTGGTAACGTGATTGCTGTTCTCAATACTGATACAAAGAAAATAGAAGCATAGAAAATCTACACTATAAGAAAAACAACCCCCAGCAATGCGGTTATATCTAACCAAATACAGTATGTTTAAAGGAAAGCCTTCCAGCGCCTCCACGCGGCAGTAGAGGAGGGAATATGCACACTGCATTCTGAGCTCCTGTCCGCCATCTGAGGAGCTGGAGGAACTCCAAAACCTGTAACAACTTTGTACCTTTTATGTCACCTAGTTTGTAACCCTCTTTTGTAACAAACTTTAAATAATATAAACCATATATAAAACGTATACAAAATTATTTATTCATTGTTTTATTGATTTTACATTTATTTAGTCTATATTTAATGATAATTATCACAGTAATTACACGAAATTGGTGATGTTTGCGACTAATGAACGTACGCGACAAGAAAAGGTAACAGACAAAAATCTCGGTGATTAATATAGATTACTTCAGTGGTGCAAACTGATTATAAACATTGCGGAGTTGACTTCCTGACATCCAACGTGGGGAGCGTGGGAAGGAAGAAAGGTGTCCGTCATGCAGTGTCTCTTAGAATGCTAATTCCTGCCTCGATATTAGTTTTTTATGTATGCGCAATTGTCAGCGAGTGGCCTTGGTAACTGTCCCAATTGGCAGGAAGTCCGCCCTATTAAATGAGGCTAATTATCGAGATGGATGCTTGACTGAAGGTGAAATAATATTATTTTATTCAGGAAGAGAGAGGCTTTTTTCTCTTTTTCTTGCAAGAGAGAGCAAGGTCAGGTCAGTACTTGAAACCTAATACTTCGTTTTCTTTTCAGAAACCACGATGGGACGGCGCTGACCTGACCTTTCTGGTCCTCCACTGTTCCCATTCTTGACCTCCTTCCCTCGTCCTCCACCAGGCCAACCATGGAGTACGAGAAGGTAACTGCCTTGTACCTCTGTATGTTATTAGTATTCATTATAATATTATGTAAACATGTTTTTGGTGTCGGTTTTATTCGTGTCCTGTTTTCGCTATCTTTAAATATTTAGAAAGGAAGAGAAAATACTTAGCCTGTTTGATCGCATTATACGGCGTTAAATTCTTCTCAGAGATATGTATCTTTTGATGCTACTATATACTAGTATAGAATTACAAAACAAATTTAACCACAAAATATAACAGTTCACCTTCTATACAACCTTTCATTACCGTTTTTTATGATCATGTACAAGGTCGGGCACTTTTTTTCACCTAATAGTAAATAGGTATCCGGAAATTACATAACTATAGTAGGGTGTCATCCTGGGGAAGGTCAGTAGTTCTACCTTCGGGGGGGAAGGGGTGTCTCGATATCATCCTAACGTATGTGTGATTTTAATTAAACTATATGAGAGCCCTTAGGAATACGAGACTCCTCAGGGAATATTATAGTTATACACGCATGAAGAAAAAACAAATAGTAAAAGAAAACGAGCTCTCTAGCCTACTGAATCTGTTGAAGAAAACGGATATCCCGAATAGGGATGGGACTCTATTTTAGTTGAGAAAAAAAATATTATTCCCTCATAGACTGGAAATCTGTGTCCACACACGCACACACATTATTATGTAAACATGTTTTTGTACTCATGATCATGATACTAGTGATATATTTGACTTCACTGTACGACAATAGGCATAATATATTGTTTTATTCAAACACTTTTTATTATTAAGTCATTTTATTGAAAAACGAACGCGGTCTTGGGTAATGTTTGTTCTACGACCCCAGCGCTCTGGGGTCGTAGTCCTAAGGGGCCCGGGTTCGATCCCCGGCAAAGTCAGAAACAAATGGGCAGAGTTTCTTTCACATAAGTGCACCTGTTCACCTAGCAGTAAATAGGTACCTGGGAGTTAGGCAGCTGTTACGGGCTGCTTCCTGGGGATGTGTTTACACTCACCTAGTTGTGTGCGCTTGTGTAAGAGAAATATATGTAGTAGCCATAATAGAGGAAAAATAAATTGGTAAGAAAGGCGGGGTCCAAGAGCTAATAGCTCGATTCTGCAGATACAAATAGTAAATACACACACACACACACACACACACACACACACACACACACACACACACACACACACACACACACACACACACACACACACACATATATATATATTATTAAGAGAAGCCTTATCACAGCCGGTTGTCCGGCAAAGAAAAAAAACATTACCTAATTGAAATTGAAATTGAAATTGAAATAAGTTTATTGAGGTAAAATACACACAAAGGGATGAGGTAGCTCAAGCTATTCTCACCCCATTCAGTACAACGTGTTAATATATACATAGACACACATCACAAATAAACACATTACCAAACATTTTGAGGTAAAAATATACATTTCCTCCCTCACAAGTAGTATGGTATCAGACGTACACACAAATACTTTTATGACCTAGGTATACTGTATAGACAATTTGCAAGACTCCTGCAGATAATTCAACAAAATATTACAATCTTGGTGCAAAATTCTTATATCTCTCAAGAATATCATCAACCTTTCCGTTGTGACACATCCAGGCTATTTGTTCAGGAACAGTCCTTATCTCAGTGTTTCTATATACACTAATCAACGGACAATCAAGAATATAATGGGCAAGGGTGTGAGACCTTAACATACCACATAGTTTACACTTCGTGTCATTACCATGAACATCTATCCCATATTCCCAGTAATATTTGTACCCAAGCCTGAGCCGCATGTACACAGAGTCACTCCAAGCATTTCTCCTTTTACCATAAGTGAAATGGGTGTTTTGACTCACATACATGTAGTGTTGCATGGTTTGACTACTCTCATACATTATCTCTCTCCTCTCCACTCCCGCCTGTGCCTGAATATTTCTGATTTTGCTTCTTATTTGTCTCATTGTGAATTCACATTCAATGTCAACTTGTGGTTTTGATGTGGCACGTTTGGCCAAGTCATCCGCCACCTCGTTGAGCACTATTCCAACATGAGATGGAATCCACATGAATTTCACACTATAACCTTTCAGCTGTATCTCAGTTATTCTTCTCTTACAGTCCTCCACTATAGACATGAAGACTGGGTTTCGACTGTTTAAGGACTCCAGTGCTCCTCGGCTATCGACAAATACAAAAACATTTTTGTCGTCATGTCGTACTTCCTCCAAACACGCCAGAATGGCCTGCAGTTCAGCTTGTGTGGATGATATATAATTACTAAGCCGGAGTTCAATTATCCTGTCCACAGTCCCAAACTCCGTATAATCCCTTATTAGGACACCACACCCTGCCCTGCCATCCTCCGCCACCGACCCGTCGCAATATACATGTAAACTGTTGCCTCTTGGTAACCGAGATATCATGCTTCCATACAAACACCGTAATTGTCCCGGTTCATGATGAATCTTTTTCACCTTGAGGGGTACAATTTCGACGTCTATTTTCTGTACTTTCCAGGGAGCAGACATATTACACTTTCGAGAGGGTTTACAGCAGTCAAGTACGTCGTATTCCCTGAGGTCATGAGCTAATCCTCTCGTATAGCGTGTCTCCCTCAGTTTCCTGGAAGTGTATACGTCACTCAAGCAGGTCTGAACGCTCACAAACAGCTTATCCCCTCCTTTTCTCCGCATGAAACGAATAGATACTCTAGTGTTAATGTCACGGACTCTATCACACACACTCTGTAAATTTAATTCCATTCTCATTATTTCAATCATTGCATTTCTTTGACATCCAAGAATAATCCTCATAGCCTCGTTCTGTATCAGCTCTATTTTTGAATTCTGCCTTGGCCTGTGTAAGACAATACGGGTGCTGCGTAGTCTATCAGGGATCGAACAGTGCTTATGTATAACATCCGCAAGATAGGTACCCCAACACCTTTACCAGAAAAAGCCAGTGCTTTTAGAGGATGCAGACGGGCTTTACATAAGGTGCTGATATGATTTATTTCAGCATTTTTACTCTCACATGTGTATCCAACATACATGCCCAGATACTTGTACTTCTGTACACGGCTCAGTTCCACACCATTTAGAGTAAGTGTTATATTTCTTCGTTTCCTATACTCGTATTTGGTTTTATCTGCATTTATAACTAAGCCTAACTTGTGACAGGTTGTACCAAGTATGTTAAGAGCATCTTGAATTTTGTTCCCAGAAGTGCCTTGTATAAGAATGTCATCAGCATATATGATCGTCGTGACCCCTGGAGGATACATCTCTGATGCTAATCTGTTCATTAATACATTGAATAAGGTGGGACTTAATACTCCCCCTTGTGGGGTACCTAACTGAAACCTCCGTTCCTCAGACATGTATCCCTGGTAATACACCTGACCTTTTCTGCCCTGCAGGTAATCCCTTATCCAGTGTAGCAATCTCCCTGTTATTCCCAGATTGGCTAATTCGTATAAGATTACTTCCCCATTGGCTTTATCAAACGCTCCTTGTAGATCAACAAAAACTCTACAATTGTCATCCACATTAGACAAACACTTTAAGAGACAATCCGCAGTACTTTTGCCTTTGATAAAACCAAAGAGATTATTGGACATGTTATCACCTACAAGGTAGAGTAGCCTATTTAACAAAATCCTTTCCATCATTTTACAAAAGCAGGATATTAAGGAGACAGGTCTGTAGCCTCCGTTTGACTTAGGGATAGGAATGATGACAGCCTCTTTCCATTTTCTTGGTAACTTTCCCTCTCTATAACTCATATTAAACAAATCAAGTAAGGGATTAGGTTTCATACCGGCTAAATAATTAAGTATGTCATACGTTACTCCATCTTTTCCCGGAGCAGTGGAGCTGCCACTTTTTATAGCATCCAGTAGCTCATCGTGGGTTATCTCAGTGCATGCTATAGATCTTGTATTTAAGGCACATAAAGTTACTCCATTTCTAATATTTTCCCATGACTCAATGGTGACTCTCGTGTCTGCAGGTAAGGACTCCATACCAGCAGCACTTGCCCATTTATCTACTAACTCATTAGCAACTTTCCCTGGATCTGAGTGAGCAATGAATTTAGTCTTACAACCCCTGACTTTATTTACTGCTCTCCATATGTCTTTAAGGTTCTTAGTATTACCAATGGCCTGAGCAAAGTCTTGCCAGTATCTGTCCCGCGCCTCCTTCCTCACCTGACTGCATTCCCTAGCCACTTCCAACATTGTATTTTTCTCTTCATCCCTCATTCCATTTTTTAACCATGCTTTATGCGCACCCCGTAGCATTCTCTCCCATCCCTTGACTTGCTGATCATTGGAATATTTAAATTTCTTAGGTCCGTGCGTCTTGCTTCCCCTGCCCCCGTTATTTTCCCTCTGTACTAATTTCTCTATGTTCTCGACCATGTCCTCGTAAAAACTATCAACGCAGAGCGGCGTGTAATGTTGATACCAATCTCCCATATTTTGAATAAAATAATTTTTCATATCTTTCTTAATATTTAGCCTTTTCCTTTGAAAGTGGACTTGTTTTTTCCCCAGTGGTAATTCAACGTTCAAGGCAAAGTGGTCACTAAGTAGTTCCCGAACAACCCGAGCCTCCCCCATAATCCCCTGAGAGTTTAAAACGCAGGCATAGTCAAGCCGTCCTCCCCTGATGTGAGTTGGTTCATTGTTTCCCAAGAGACAGGTATCTGGATGATCTTGTAGAAACTGTAACCACTTGACCCCATTAGCATTAATACTACCCACTGTCCCAAGGCTTGTGTGCCGAGCATTAAGGTCCCCAATGACCAGTGAAGGATTAGTAGAAATGCAGTCAGGTAAATAGTTAGCGTCGAAGCAGTTCCTGGATACATACAAATTAACTACAATAAATTCCCCTTCCCTTAATGATAATTTAACACAGACACTCTCTATACCTTGCGTTTTTGATGGCGGTTCTACTAACTCTGCTGGTATGGAGTTCTTAA